AAATTTTTCTACACATAAACTTTAGTTTTTCCGTCACATCGTTACCATTTCAACCAAACTTTCATTTTTGACATGAACTAAACACACCCTCACTGTGGAAATGAAGGCTGCTCTGTATTTCGATTTCGACGAATTTTTTTTATTTGAGTTAGTCCATTTAAGTTTGATTAATACCACTCCGTGTGATTGATTCTTTAGCAAAGTATAAACGAATCGTTTTTTTTAAAAAAAACGTACGGAATAGTACGAGATGTACGCATGCCTGAGTATTCCTGGCTTTCTACGTTGTCTCTAGAGTCCACAGTTCCACTCTCCACTGTATTTGTACTCCCAAACAACGTGTCAATTTCATTGCACGACATGTTCCGTACTAGTATCACTGTGTATCCAAATCCAATCATCATATGGCAAAAAGAGCTAACCGATTAGACAATTCCCGTGTTTCTTAGGCCTCCTTTAATGGTTGAGCTAGTGTACTAGCTCATATGCTTGTCCACCTCATATAAAAGATAGCAACAAGTCTAACTCTCTAATAAATTGTCTCATAGCACATTGTTTAAAATGTTTTGGTTTCACAATTCCTCTCGCATTTTCTTTAGGAGCTTAGCTCTTGAAGAAGAGTTAGTGCATTCTCTCTCCTTATCTTCTCTCTCTTCCACATCATACAAAAGCTGATGTGGAAATTTATGAGCTAGCTGACTCATCCTTGTTGGAGGAGGCCTTATGCTACCTGTCAAACATATTTTTGCCAATATATCGTTCCCTGGATATAAAAAATCAGCTCCCGGCGCAGAAGAACGGAGCGCTGGCTTCTGCTTGATTACGGTTGTGTTTAGTTCCGTACAAAGTTTAGATTTTGGTTGAAATTAGAGATGATGTGACTGAAAAGTTATGTGTGTATGACATGTTGATGTGATGAAAAAGCACTGAAGTTTGGATTCAAACTTTAGATCTAAACACAGCCTACCGAGAGGGAATGGAAGGAAAAAAAGACCAAGCCAGGAAAGACTTCCGCTGCTCTCCAAGACTCGGCACGCTAGCTAGCTCTTCGTTCCCCCTCGTTTGCTCTGTACGAGGCAGCAGCTGAGGTGAGCGTCACATGCCGCTGAACTCTTCTTTTTCTCGGTCATATGGACTCATGATGCGGAAGACCAACACGCGCCGCACAAAAACAGAAGCGACGACGCATCACGCATACTCCTATAGCCTAGGAAAACATGGTCCCTTTGTTGTTAGGCCTAACATGGGTGCTAGTAGTAAGATTTTACGGGAGACGGCGTGTTTTAGCATGGGTGCAGCAACTGTGCAAGTCCTAATCACCAGTTTGTGCTTGTGCACTCGACTTTTTTTGCTGATGACCACGTCTACGAGAGTCCGGGCTATAGCTGTAATCAGGGAGCGAAACGGGGAAAGTGAAAGGAAAAGGGGGGCGAAAAGAGATTCGCCCCACGCGCAGGCAGGCAGCAGCTGCATTGTTGCTGTTGGTTGGGAAAGGTACACCGGTCGGCGCCGGATGGCTCTGCTTGCAAGGACACGTGTTGCTGCTACAGGGAGAGAGACCTTTGATCATCCTCGGCTCATCGCCCTTTCCTCTCCAGGGTTTCAAAAACCGCCGGGGGCCCGGTTACCGCCACCCGGCGGTACGGCGGTTACCGGCGGTAACCGCGGTAACCGCGCAAAACCGCGACAAATTTACAAATCGAAATTTGAATTCAAAAATTCGGGCAAACCGCGCGGTTTGGCGCGGTTACCGCGCGGTTTGACGCGGTAACCACGCGGTTTGGCGCGGTTACCGCGCGATGTGTAATGGGTTGCACAGTAACGGGCCGGCCCATTTTTTTTTCTTTTTCCAATTTTCAAATTTATTCTCCGTTTTGCTCTCAAATTTGAATAAATATTACTCTTTTTTGAGAAATTTCTTCACCATAAAACACTATAAATCAAGCACTACCTTCACTATTTTTTTTGATTTTTTTCTTTTTTTTTAAATTTTTAAATTTGGACGAATTTTATTAAACCGTACCGCGCGGTACGGGTAACCGTACCCCCGCGGTACGGGCGGTAACCGCGCGGTTACCGGCGGTTTTTCACACCCTGTTCCTCTCTCGCCTTTGTTAGGCCGAATGGGCTTCTTTCTCTCTGGGATTTGGACGGTGCAGAAAACGGCAGCCCTTTTGGGAAAGCTAGTCCTCTCTCTTTTTCATCAGGATGAAAGTAGTCGTACTAGTGTTTAGGGGGTGTTTAAGAACTAGAGACTAAACTTTAGTCCATATATCCCTAGGAGAGGGACTTATGCTTTTGTGAGATGGGCTAAAGTTTAGCCCCTCTCTCCCAAACACCCCCCTACTGTTTAACCTTCTCAAGTAAAATTTCTTTATTGGAGCACATATGCTAACGGGAGTGATGCTCTGTTTAATTCTGTAAGAGCAGGTACAATAGCAAGCTATAAGCCAACTGCAAACATATTTTAAGGAGATAAATCAGGAGAGAGAAGAGCAGCGGGCTACAGATTTGTAGTCAGCTGTAGCACGGACCCCAAGACGCAGTGTGTCTATGATAGGTGGGACTATGTATTAATAGTATAGTATGTAACTATTGTATGAATGAGCTATTAGATTGGCTATAGATGAATTGGAGCTAGTAGTTGGCTATACTATTGAACTTGCTATAAGAGCAGGATCAATAATACCGCCCGTTGCTGGCTATAAAATTCACCATGTCATTTAATAGGCTATATAGTATATAGATGTAGCTTGCGTTTTCTTCCTTGGGCAGGCCAAAAGCTGCATGCACAAACCGATTGCTGTTCAATCACCATTTATCCTGAACAGCTAGTACCCAATCACTATGCGTAAGCAAGGGTATGGCCAATTACAGTAAATTCACCTAGTCTTGGAGGCTACGTGCAGCCGGCGTTAATATAGTCGCCCGCTTAAGTTCTCTGTCCTTGATTCCCTCCGCCAACTCAGCTTTTTGCCATGATGGATATATTATAGCCTGCTTAATTCTCCTATTGTACTTGCTCTATGAGCTTAAGTTCCTGTGCCGAGAGATCACCAGATTAGAGCAAGGCTAATGGTATAGCCCGCTGCTGGCTAATAGCCTACTCCTAAAGCCAACTATAAGTACAATAACTTGTTCATTGGATGACTACATCTTATAATCAAGTAATTAATTATAACATGCACATGTCAATGTGTAGGATCAAGAGTGAATTATATCTCTGTAGCCATTTGTGTTGTGACATGAATTTTATTCATCAAACACTACCACTACCATATAAACCAAGTTCTATGTAGTATGGAAACTACAAGCACTAATAGATAACTCAAATACCATAGCAACTAACTAGATTAACCCATAATATTATTATCCCAGGCAGGGACCGGACCGTCGCTGCCTTTGGAGCTTCTCTCGCTTCGTCTACGTCAGGGACGCGGGGTGCCATGCTGCTGCACCTAGCTCTAGCGCTCCAGGCAGGGCCGCCCGGCATGCGTGCACCTGCTGTTTGACAAGGACGACGTCTCCGTGCCCACCGCTTCCCGGCCTGGGAGCACGCCGCTGCACCTGGCCGCCCACGTCGGTAGCCTGACAGCATCCAGAGATGGCGCGCTGGAGGGAAGCGGAGATCGAGCGAGCGCCGAGGAGACAGAGATCGCGCGCCGCATATGCGTCGATGGGGAAGCAGAGGGAGCGTTGCGGGATCGGCTGTGGTGTGCGCCCCACAAACCGCGTTTTTTATCGCCAGGGCCGGCTGCAATCGAGCGGTAGCGCGTCGAGAAAAGTGTATCGCCCGACGACAAATTAGTCATCCGCTTCCTTCTCTCTCATCTATTCTCTCTTCCCTCCACATAGGAATAAGATGATGTGGCATATTTTTGCAGCCCGCATAGCCAGCTTATTGCACCTGCTCTTAGCAGGGCTGTTATGATTAGAAGGTTTTCTTATATTCTGAGAACTTTTAATTGACTCTGCTGCTCCGTGAATCCCTTTGGAGAAGCAGGTGGCCATTGATTCGCCAGCACAGCTTGAAAGTTGACAAGAATCATGGCTCGAGTCCTTCCCTGTGACGTATTTAAAACCTTCGCTTTCCCGGGTAGCTGGCTGGGGAAGACGGCCACCTGGCTATTTTCTGGTTGCCACAGCCATTTGCACCCGTGAAAATAAAAGCTAAATTCAACGCATTTAATCTTTCTTGGTCAATGGTCAGATATCATTTTTATTTCTTTTTTTTTCATTTTTGGATAGAGATCTTTGCATTTCAGACATGAAAATTTTTATGCGTGCAAAAGTCCCAAACACTATACACCATATAAAGACCTATGAAGTTACACCATACAAGGACCTAGGAAGATTTTCTAGAAGATAAAGAAGATATCGATAATAAAGAGTCTTATTGCAGGGGATAAAAAGGATAAGATATTTATTTATTTATATTTTATCCGGGAAGTGTTCGTGCACGTTTCTTCATGTCAAATACTCAAATACAATACTTGATCAATGCATGTACGCTTCTTGATGCATCATGTATATGCGTGCCAGGTAGCTAGATGAAAGCTGAAAATTGTTTTATTATATTAATTATTATCATGTTAATTTGTGCACGTACGTCTAGCTCTGCACCTTATATAATTCAAATCGATTTTGCTATATATTTGTCGACAAATTTTTCCCCCAAAATTTGACAGATGTAATTACAGTACAATCGTAGTGTAATTACACTGTAACTTGCATGTAATTACACTGTAACTATAGTGTAACTTGTATGTAACTTTCAAAAATCTCTCCGTTACATGTTATTTCGGTAAAATGGAGGTCGTGGGAACAAATTCTTTCACATATGTGTGTGCTATGATTTGTTTTCTTTCTCACCAAAACAAATCTTGTAATAGATCCAACGATTCAAAATTATGTGAAACTTACATATAAGTTACACTGTAGTTACATGCAAGTTACAGTGTAATTACATATAAGTTACAGTGTAATTACACTACGATTGTACTATAATTACATCTATCAAATTTTTGGAGAAAAATTTGTCGACAAATGTATAGGTAGTCCCATCATGGGACTAATCAACCTGCATTTATACACATGGACCAAACAAATCTTTGTTGGCTGTGTGTAAATCTTTATGGTTTGTATAGCTAATGGCAGATATTTGGTGTACTATGTACATTTACAACGTGTCGTGCCCTACGCGTACAAATTTAACTACAAAAATTATCCTACTTGTTTATATCTCAGTGCACCATTCTTAGCCTAACGATCTGATGCAGTGAGGTGCTCCCGATCGAGTGGTACTTGACCACGTCCTCGAAGCATCCAATGGATGGCGGCGATGGCGGAGGTGGCGCCGTCGCCGGCGCCTTCTGCATGTGGCCAGGATCGCATTCTCCTACGGTTGCCGCCGCTGTCGACGTGTCGCTGACCGCTTGCGTGACATTGACAATGTCGTCGTCGTCGTCGTCCTCTTCCACCGGCGACGGACACGGGTAGAAGTCCTTGCTCTCGACGAGCTGCATTGTCACGCGCCCGCCCCGGCGGCGCGCGCGGATGTACTCGTGACGCCGCCTGGCGCCGGCGGGCGCTTCGGTGACCACGAGCCTCCCGTCTTTGGTGCACGTCCGCCTCATCGCGCCCCGGAGCGACGGGAGCGGCGGCGGCAGCCGGCGCATCATCCCCCGGCGCCCGTACGCCACCCAGCACCCGTCCTCGCCGTCGTGGACGTCCTCCTCCTCATCATCATCACTGCAGCCGTTGCACTGATCCCCCTTGCAGCTCGTCGTCGTCTCCTGGTGAACCGCGACGATCGTCCGCGTCACGACGCGGCCGCGGCCGTAGCCCGCGGCATCGGCGACGAGGAGGGATCGGAGGCCGAGGCTGTCACGGTCACGGGCACGGCAAGGCAATCTCTGCGCGGGCATCGATCGGATCGGTGTATCTGGCTCGGCCGATCGATCTCGGCGCGAGCCCCGGGTTGACGCGGAATTTATACGTGGGGGCGGAGGAGGAGGAGGACGCGTTTACTTTACTCTCCGAGATGGCAGGAAGAGGACAGTCGCGGCGCCCGTGATGCCGACCTAATTAATAGGCCACCGGCCCGATCGACCGAGCAGTCGTCATCGATCCACCGCTTCCTGATCTGGTTTTATTTGATTACGCTGCGTTGGAGCTTATCTTATCCGTCCATTCGGTTGTTAGATATTGCTGCGGAACGGATAGAGGCGGATCGGACGGCTGTGAAGCCTGTGCTTGCACGTACTCCCTCCGTCCAAAAAATCTCAACCTAGAACTGTGATGGGACATAATCTAGCATGTCTAGATAAGTTGTACTAGATTATATCCCTTTATATCTAGATACGTTGTACTAGGTTATGTTCCATCACAGTTCTAGGTTGAGATTTTTTGGGATGAAGGGAGTAGTTGGCAAGATTGGTATACGGCGCATGGTGAGAAAGGTAAGGCTGATCTTTAGTATTTAGCTATGGCCTATATACTTATGCTTTTAATTATAGGCCTTGCTAACTTCCGCTATATATGCATTGGATTGCTTCAGCCCATAGCTAACTTCCGGCTCAGAATAGTATATGGGCCTGAGCTAGAGTGAGGCATTTTTTTTGGCAAAATTTGCTACAGTACACTCAAAAAACGTGTAATTGGCTGGGAGACACTGCAAAAACGAGACACGGCAAATGGACACTACAAAAATTATGTAATTGGCTATAGGACACCAGAGAATATTTTATAATATCCGAATCAAAAAAGGCGGGAAATTTTTCAAAATGGCAAGATTGCCCCTGGCTCCATCTTCCTCCACCTGAAATCACACACAAAAAAATAGCAGGGAGCAGCCGCGGCGCGAGGTTGTCGACGGCGAGGGAGCGGGTAGCGGCGACCGCGCGCCAGGAGCGGCCGACGGCACGGAGGCGGACGCGGTCAGGGAGGGAGCGCGAGGCCGGCGGCGTGGAGTGCGAGCAGGAGGCGGCCACTGTCGTCACCGTGGTTTGAGCGGCCATCGCCGCAGCCCAAAGCGCCGATGCCTCGCCCTGCCGTTCCTCCTCTGCCGCCCAACCATACCACAGCCACCACGTGTGAGCGTCGCCGCCGTCGACCAATCCATGGACAGAGCTCCACTTTTCTCCACACAAAACCGATCCTCTCTCTCTCTCTCATGCCGTGTCAAGCCAGCCGCCAGTCGATCTCCTTCCTCGGAGCCTCACCAGCCATAACCTCTCACCATTAGCCTCGCCTCGCCGAGTAGAACCATTTCATCCATTTCCCCTTTCCCTTTGCCACCACTTTGAACCATCCACCCAACCTCTCTCTCTTCCCGATTCACGGCCTTGCACTCGTCGTTCCGGCCATTTCCCTCACTCCCTCGACCTACTACCACCCTCCCTTGTTGTGCCGCACTCGGGAACATACTCCGCCGCCAGCGTCGTCGTCTCCCGGCCACCGGAGCACCAGCGCCCTTCTCTACCTCCTCTCGGTTCCCTGGAAAGAGGCAGAGAAGAAGATGACGGGAGGAAGAAGAAGAGAAAGAAAAATAAAAAGGAGTAGAGAAGGATTGAGAAAAACAAAAAGAAAAAAAATTGAAGGGTAGAACCATACTTACACGGTTCTTTCTCTCTCCAATTTTTTCGGATATAATAAAATAATCCCGTAGGTGTCCAGCAGCTAATTACCAGTTTTTCGTGGTGTCTTATAGCAAATACACGTTTTTGTGGTGCCTCACAGCTAATTACACATTTTTTGAATGTTAGCAAATTTTGCTTTTTTTTTTTAAGATAGGTTGGATTTGGATCGGTCTCTGTCAATCTCAACTCTACAGAAAGCAGTTGCTGCGAAGTGTGACAAGCGTCTAGGTATTCAGTTCAGTTCAGTCAATCACAGCTACCATTTCAGAATTCAGACACAAACATTTCATCGCAAGAGAATGGACGGGTACTCTATAAAAATGTGGAAACACGAGTTGGTAGACCGACGTTTCACCCTGCTACTGAGAAGGCAACGATCATCAAAAAGACCCGAGCTTGTGCCACAACTCGACAGTTGTCCGAAACCACCGACCTAATCATGGCACTGTCAAATTCAGAGACGATCAAATCAAATCAAGGCGTCAGAAACACAAAGCATCTTCCATTAACCTCCCTCTTCTTCATCCACAACGAAACTTGCTCGCCACAGCACACAACGTTAGCTTGTCGTTGGCGGTGGATCACCAAATATCTCGAGTCTTAGTCTCTCTCACAGCCCTGGTATCCTCTGTGAACTGATGCTCAAACCAGTACATGAACAAAGGTACTCTATTTCTTTGCACTTTTTCTATCATAGTTATTTACCACTTGTCTGAAAAGTTACACTTTCATCTTGTTTTCTTCTTGTAGAGTATGCATCTACCATTCTAATCTACTCATACACCGGCATGAATGCAAATTGATTACATATGTAGTGGAGCTTTCAACTCTCACTTAGTAGGCCCATGACTCCACTACTGCTAGTAGCAGAGAAAAAAGCTGTTTCAGAGAGGATTGTGCATAACAGCATAAACAATAATTGGCCATTTGGCATATATCTCAGGCACACTAAGCAAGCATGTTTGCCACTAACAGACCTGCAGATTTGCAAGATAGAGACAAACATCACGCAGCATTGCAGCATCAATATTTACTGCCAAATCATTGGGGAATGTAAAGAAAAAGAATTATACCAGGGAAAAAGGGGAGAAATGGTTAGTGGAGTAGAGCACCTAAGATGCACACCCAATCATCAGTTAATGAGGCAGAATTCAGTGTAATGCAAACTGCAAAACTCTTTTCTGAAGGCTCAGAGGTAACGGATCAGATTCCAACTTGCATAATAGACAACAGGGGTGATGATTTTCAGTTGAAAACGAATGAGATGTTGATCTCCTGGGTAGATAAAGACAAGTTGTGGTGTCTTGATGCAGACTATTATAATTATAGTAGGAGTACCAATTAGCAGTATTCAGAATACCAGCTAATTAGGTAGGTTGGTGTCATCCCCCGTATCAATTCGAGCATAGAAATTATCCATTACTTCTGGTAACCTTCTTTATGTGATTACTTTTATCTCAGCTGCGTGAGTGCATGTAGCATATATTAACATTTTAATTGTCACATCCATTGATAAGAATATACCATCACCGAATTTGTTTTCAATGCTGATTAACATACTAGTCAGGAACCGGAGATAAGATTGAGCTTGAGGGGGTTTGGAAACTGACCCCTACACCCTCCATTAAAAAAACAAAATTCTGATTACGAATCTAAATATATATCGTGTCTAAATTCGTAGCTAAAAATTATTATTATTTATGATGATGTGAGTATATATGTAAGTTAGTATTTGCCACGAGAATTCTACAAACTTTGCTTGCACTGCATCCTTCTATCATTGCTTGCGGTGGCGAAAGCAAGTAGTACGGAATCTAGAGCCCCACTATATGACACTTCGGTGGTCTTTGCCACTAAAAAACAGCTCCTTTCTACCTGAAACCGTGGAAATCTTTGCAGTGGCTCGTTCTAATTCAAAGTTGAGCGTGACAATTTGTTCCATAGTACCAATTATTTTTTCAGGTATTCGTGCACTATTGCTTTGATTTCTTTTTTTCTTTATATATTATAAAAATAAGAGCAATGCAGGTACATGCTTTTATTCTTGTTGCTTATGAAACTAATAGTAGTACTTGGCATTTAGCCAAAAGAAAAGGGAATAGTACTTGGCTGAGACAACATCAGTATAGAAATTAATTGGAGAGCGACATGTATAAGATTCAGTTCCATTATTTCGGGAAGACCTTGTAAATCATTTGTGATATATACAAAAATTGCCGGAGTCTTTGCTGTCCTCCAATCATAATTATACCATTTTTTGATTGCATCATACGATAGAACAAAGAAACCCAACCACTGCATATGTATGCCGTTTTGTCCGTGTGTTCAGCTGTGCGGTTACCACGTCGTGTCTTCCCTTTTTGCTTGAAATTTCAGGTTTGTCATAGTTGGTGTAGCCTGGACTTTTTTCAGATTTCACTCCTGTAAATGTATGCATATGCACATAAGCAAAATCGTGTTTCCTAGTTCAGCCGAGGACCAAATCACCAAAAGATACAGTAGTAAGCCTGACAAATGCAGCCTTAACAAAGATTCAGCTGTCAGATGCTTTGCCTGCCAGGAAATGTTTAGCAGCTGACCTCGAATAATTGGGTGCTTCCTTCGTTTGGTTATCCCTGTCTGTGGATTGTTACCTGAGATTCTGAGAATATACAAACCATATGCAAGTCTCATGCAACTATCAGATGCTGTATGGATGGGAATTCTACTATTTTCTAATTGTGTTAGTTGATCCGTAAGTCAAAGGAGAATTCTAATTTCTAATCGTATTGGTTAGCAAGTCAGAGTATTAGCCAACCTTCTCAGACTAGCTAATCACAAACTCATGACCTCTAATGGGGTGCAGGTGCCAGTTTATCACCGGAAAGTGCAAACAGTAATTACCCTGCTTGAGAACCAGAGACATTTAGATGAAGAGACGTGTCAAGATTTTTCAGAAAAAAAGAGTTGCGTCTGGTGCTCCACATTTTCACAACAACTGTCATGTGACAACGACCATCGTTTAAAGAAAAAGCTCCGTGCTTCCGTCTCCGACCATTTCAACCTCCAAGGATAATCTTTTACTATCTGTATTAAATCCATTTACTATCTGTATTAAATCCATTCATGTGCTACCCTTTCAAAACTCAGGAAGAGGAGTCATTTTGACGTCAACAGAAGAAGAAAGAATTAAGATTAACTTTTTTTTTCCTGACTGGAGATGTAAATAACGTGCAAAACTCATCCAAGCTGCTAAAAATATGCATCATGCGTGTGTGTTTGTTCAGAATCAAACCAATCTTTTGTACCAGTACAACCACTTCCAGCGAAGCCAGCAGCTAGAGTAGCAATGTATGCGCATGAGCTCAGCCGCAGCAGCAGTGGCGCAGGAGAAAAACAGGGGAGAAGACGCCAACGATGAGGCAGGTTCACGCGGTCAAACCAGCCGTCGCCGACGTGCAGTTCCGACGATTGATTCCATCGTCTCGGGCATAGAATTCCCCGCCTGCTTCTCACTTTCACAGGTCGCAACCATGGATGGCTCCGTCTCCGTCTCCGTGCTAGTGGAAAAAATAATTGAGGCTTCTCGTTGGGTGTATCTGTTAAATTACCGAGGAAGGAAGCCCCAGTGTGCCTGTGCCCCCTCCTCGTCTTTCGTCTCTTCTCTCCTTCCTTCCTCCCCTTCTCTTCCTCTCCTCCCACCGAGTCGCCGCCCTCTCGCTTTCAACCCCCACACGGAAGCAAGAATTGTTCATCAAAACCCGATCTTTGGCGTGGCCCCGTGGATTTCTTGCGATCTGTTTGGTGCTATGGATTTCTGATCCGGGGTTTCTTGGATCTTGGGGAGTAGGAGGTGGGGGGCGGCGATCTGGCCGGGAGATGGCCGGCGGGAAGGAGCCGATCGAGGTCAAGTTCCGGCTTTTTGATGGTACGGACATCGGCCCGAGCAAGTACGACCCCTCCACCACCGTCTCCGCGCTCAAGGAGTTCATCCTCGCTCGGTGGCCGCAAGGTGAGAGGCAGAAGATTCCTGCATCAATTCGATAAGAGTACACGGATTTTTTTTTTCTTTTTTGCCCTGATCTGCTGCATCTTTGATTCGGTGAAAGCACACGATGGCTTGTGATAATTCTTGATCCCATGTAGTTTCTTGGATCATGTATATTGCTTTGTGTTGCGCCGTCTTATTTTTGCGTGGTGTTTATGTGGGGCGTTTTTTTTTCTCCTTTTCCTACCCTCTCTTTCCTATGGTTTTGCTCGTGTCAGATGCGTAGACGACTGTTAATTGGTAATCTGTTCTTCTCTGAATGGATACGGTGACCAACTGAGTAGCGCGTAACTAGTTCTTTTCCCCCTTAGCTTTCTAGAACTGGATATGCCAGATAAATACATCGTCAATCGACAATTCCCCTTCTCAGTGTATGTTTATCATCCATGAAAAATCCCGACCACACGAATTCGGATATTGCCAGAATAATATTTCTGCTAGTTTGTGGCAGAAAACCCCCCAAAAAACACATTTCAGGCAATGATTTGGATCACAAATAAGTGCGATGAAGGGCCAAACAAGAAAGAGGGTAGTCTTCCTATGTCCTATAAAGAGTAAAGACACAAAGAAGACGGCACAATGCCATGTTAATAACAGTATTATGCCTTTTGTATACCTATTTGCTTTCCTACATTATCTGAAGGTAGTTCTGCTAGCACTATAGAACTTAGCACATCTTTGGTCCTTTGCGTCAATATGATTGCTGGGCCATTCACAAGTAAACGGTAAGGATGAACTCTGGACACCGACTGTGGTGCTAATGTATCATTTTTTTGGGTGGTGAAACCATCAGGACGGATGTGACGATTTCAACCACAGCTGTATTTCTATTAACACTATGGAACACATAAATGATTTGGTTGTTTGTACACTTAAGCATAATGATCAGCAAGGGCCACATTTGTCATGTGGCACATTGAAGTTACTGACAACCACCAGAATCTTTTGCATAGTGCAACCTTTTGTCTGGCTGATGTTTTGCCAAAAAAGATGCTGCTGTATAAATGGATGTCCGTTTACATTAATTGGGACCACCGGAGAAAGATTTGGTGTGTAGAATGGAAAATCTAATAACTGAGGAAATGGATAGGCCAACAATTGTAAAAAAAAAAAACCATCTGACTATCACACTCAGACAGGAGTTCTTTTCTTGATGTGCAATGCTTGGGTGAGGTGCTCCTTCCTGAGTAAACTAGAGCATGTAAAATTGAATCCTTTGATCCTTTCCCAGTTGAATCAGTGTCTGCAAGCAAGATATTCCTCCTGCAGTACTTTTACCTTCATTGAACACACACTGCATTACAAACTCGAAGGCTGGAAATGGTGCAATTTCTTTTTTGAGATACTATTGATTACAAATGAGAATTAACGTTTTCTGGATGTCCTCAGATTGACCTGCATTCTGAAGTTCTCTTTGTAATTTTGTAAAGATTCAATTTCTTCATAATCCATACTTGTTATCCTTATATTCCAAATTTATTTTATTAAAGGGATTGTTCTTTATCTTTTTATGGCAGATAAGGAAATAACTCCAAAAACTGTCAATGACCTGAAGCTCATTAATGCCGGACGGATATTGGAGAATAACCGGACACTTGCTGAGTCCCGTGTTCCAGTAGGAGAGGTTCCAGGAGGTGTAATTACAATGCATGTGGTAGTACGCCCTCCACAACCCGACAAAAACAGTGGTATTGCCGCCAATTTTGTTTCTTTTTTTTCACATTGTTTTTCTGGCTGCACTGATGGCCTATTTCGCTTCTCCGTTGACACAAAACTCTATTAAATTCAACGAATGAAATTATGCTACAGCTGGGTATCATTCTAAGACTGTAGTGTCCTGTCCTCCAAAGATGAACATGTATAGGGATAGTATCTGTAATCTGAATACAGTGTCCCACAAGAAGAGCCCAGCCCTTTTTCCAATAGCGGTTTGTTCCTTGTTTTATTTTGTGTAGGGTTTAATTGATCAAGGTATATTGTTTGGTCAATTACTTGCATGGAAATTGTAGAGCAGCTGAGCTGGTGTTTCCTAAGTTGATAGAGGCATGAAATGAATATTTCGAGTTCTTTTCGCAAATTAACACGCTTTTATGATGGATAGGTCTATGGTAGTCTTGTGGCATAAGAAACTGTATTAACTTTTTTGATAGCTTCAGTTTAGATTTGTTACATGTTAGAAGATTTAAATAGGACAGTTTGGCGCCGTTACTTCTATAGATTGAAATGGGTGTTGGGTTGGTTCTCAACCATGTTTACACTTTGCACATAAAACTACAGCCTACAGATTCACAAAACCTTTTTGTTTATAGACATCTGGCTAGAAAATAACTACTTATTCTAATGAACTAAAGTATTTTAAAACTACGATTCTGCAACTATTTTTGGTTTTGACTCTCATGGAACTATAATTCTGTTGTTTATATGGTAGTATTTGGCTAATTAAATGCTTAAAGCTTTCATCTAGACCAATTTGACACCTCTATATACACATCTATAATGTGTTGTTGGTTTCTCCTTTCCAGAGAAGCAGCTTGCGAATTCCCCCAAGCAGAACAGATGTGGGTGTACCATACTGTGATACGCCGCCTGCCTGATGATGATGTACAATGTCTCGCTCTAGGATTTTGTATCTGCTTTCCTGTGTTCGCAGCTCTTGTGAATTCATTTTGACATCCAATTTTAGAGCCATTCAAATCCTAGAAATATACATACTTTAACACCCGTCAAATATGCTTGGGAGCTGGAACTGAAGGTTTCTGGAGGATGCGTCATGGTGATCTTAATGTTGTAACGAGTGTGCAGAAGACAGGGATTGGATGCTTTCTGTTGTATAAATTGTAATGTGAAAACGAAAAAAATTCTCTCCTTTTTCTTTTTTCTCTTGCCACATTGACATTTTATCGATTCTTTTTAGCACTGGTGTTTGTCATGTAAAACCAGAATATTGTACTCATATATGTAAGCTGAAAAAAGGGGTGTTTTATTCTGTTACGTGGACGGAAAAAGGAAAGAAAAAAAATAGAATCTGTCCTATAGTTATCCCATCTGGAAACACTTTTGGGCCAAATTTCTCATTATGCCAAAGAATCACTTTGCTACTATTTTCAACCCAATTATTTTTTGGCAAAGTTAAAAAAAAAGTAGCTACATTTAGTTTGCTATTAAATTTAGTTAGTAAGTACATATAAAATCTTGCTAAAATTTAGCAACCATACTAAAACTTGGTAAGATTAAAAATGGTAATAAAGTGAACAAGCCTGGAGATACCAAAAATCTGAGTTGCAAGATAGGAATTTAACTTAACTTTATAGTGTCACTGACATGTGGGGCCTGGCTGCGATGTGTCGATGTGACAGCAACAGCTTTACGGCCCGGCCCAATATATCTAGCGGCCCATTTACCAAATACAATAGCATCTCTCCCGCTTGTTACAGGCCGTCCGATTCTGGCCGCTCGCCCATCTCTACCGTTGGTTTCCGCCGCAAGGCTCGCGCGGCTCCCGGGCTCCGCCTCCGCGCCGCTTCTCCGCTTGCGCGAACCCAACCCCGGCGACCCCGCCGCCGCAAAACCCTTCCACCCTCTGCTCTCTCTCTCTCCGGCTCGGCGTCGCGCGCGCCGTGGAAGAGGCCACCAGTCGCGGGGGCGCGGCCTCCCGTCGGTGATCCGACGGCGCTGTATAAGCGTGATCGCTTGGAGCGTCCGGACCCGTCGCTGGCTCGTGTGCGTGTCAGGGGTTTCTCCGGCTGTCCGTGCGGGTGCCCGTCCGGTACGGGATCCTCGGCCCTCCTCCGCTGTCTCCGCCGAGGGAGGAGGCAGACCGGCCGGTCGCTGACTCGCTGCATCGATTTTTGGTTTGGTGGAGTTCAGCCTTAAAGACGGCTTACGCCAGATTTGATCTCTTCCAAGGTTAGCTTCCGCTTTCCCCACTCTGGACTCGTAATTTCTGATAGGTTTGCTTGTGAACGGTTGAATAATTGAGTCTAGTCTTATCCAGAGCTTTAGGGCTCACTATCTGTTGTGCAGCGAATTTATTGTTAATTGTTGCATGCTGCTAATTAACCGTTGCCCTTTTCTTTGTTGTAAAAGGTTCTGCAGTCGAATAGTACTTGCGATTTCATTTTATTGAACGAGTTAGGCTTACCAGCATGCCAGTGTGGCTAATCTTCAGTTTTTCACACGTAGGATTTGTATGCTACAAATATTTTCGAGGATAGCAACACGAATCCCTCAACGAGTCATCTGTGCATCGAATTCATATAGTTCAAATTATCGAAGTACTAGCACAAGCAGTCCCATGAATTCAAATGAAATGCTGGGAGCTCAGGAAACGGTATCTACTGAGGGGAACAACAGCTGTTCTAGTGTTCAGTCCACTCCTGACATAGAGAAGAAGTATGTGCATCGTGTATATGATGCCATAGCCCCACATTTCAGCTCAACACGCTTTGCAAAATGGCCTAAGGTTGCAGGATTCTTGAATTCGTTGAGGCCAGGGTCAGTTATACTGGATGCTGGCTGTGGTAATGGCAAATATCTGGGCTTCAATCCTGACTGTTTATTCATAGGATGTGATATAAGCCCACCACTGATTGATATATGTGCTGGGAGAGGGCATGAAGTGTTGGTTGCTGATGCTGTCAACCTTCCATACAGGGATAATTTTGGTGATGCGGCAATTTCAATAGCAGTACTGCATCATTTAAGTACTGATGCCAGGCGGAGGAAGGCCATTGAAGAGTTGATCCGTGTTGTTCGGAAAGGTGGTCTGGTGCTCATCACTGTCTGGGCTGTGGAGCAGGAGGACAAGTCACTTCTCAACAAGTGGACTCCCCTCTGTGAGAAGTATAATGAAGAGTGGGTTGATCCGAGCAGCCCTCCAGTGCGTAATCAATCCAATACTGTGCTTGAAAGCATATCAGAGACTGATGAAGACACAGGTGCAGTGAAGCAAAGGAATGATGATCTGAAAATAAGTAATGATGGTTTGGATGATAACGCCGATGTAACTTGCAGCAATTCCAACATTGATGAGTATCACAAAACCCAGCAGGAGTACTTTGTTCCTTGGCATCTTCCATTTCACCGAGCTGAAATTGGTGGTGCATCTGCTGCTGCTCTTGAAAATGGATTTGCAAAAAGAGATGACAAGAAGGGTACTGTGGTCTACAACCGCTATTACCATGTTTTTGTTGAAGGAGAACTTCAAAGGTGAAGCATTCTTACTCTGAGCTTTAGTATAAAATGCTCCTCTATTCTTTCTTTTTTTCATTTTCCCCAATTTTTTCTATGAAAATGCGTGAGTTAAGATATATCACATTATATATAAGTTCACCAGAATATCTCCATTTCATGTTGTTGACTGATGATTTGAAATTTCTATTGTTTGGCTTTGAGATATTTTCATACAGTTTAGTAGTTTACTAGTATCAGTTTTTGTGTTTAGCTATGCAACAATGGTATGATACACAATACTTGCGATTCTAAAGTTTTGCTTTTACTCCCTCCGATTCATACTATAAGTCGTTTTGACTTTTTTCTTAATCAAACTTTTTTTAGGTTTGACCAAGTTTATACAAAAATTTAGCATCATCTACAACACCAAATTAGTTTCATTAGATATAACATTGAATATATTTTGATAATATGTTTGTTTTGCGTTAAAAATGTTGCTATATTTTTCTATAAACTTGGTCGAACTTAAAAAAGTTTGACTAAGAAAAAAATCAAATAACTTATAATATGAAATTGAGGGAGTATGTTTGATCTCTGGTCTTTTGGTTGGAAATATCTCCTATCTCTGGCACATTGTCTCATTAATTTCATTTCAGGTTAGTTGCTGGTATAAACAATGCAGTTGTTGTTGACCAATTCTATGACAAATCAAACTGGTGCATCGTTCTTGAGAAGCTTTGAACATGCAGCTAAAAGTGCCGGGGAGAAACTCATCTGGAGCCTGTGCCCTTGTATCTTTGTAAGGACTGCCAGTTGTAGGCGAGCACGGTTTTGCGCTCCAAATGTACGAGGCCTGACACAAAAAAACTGCATTATTGAATTTAGCATGTCATAATTCTCTATTCACTTGTTGGTGAAGATCACTTTTGCCCGTTGTCATCGCGGGAATCTTCAGGTTGATCTTTTCAGGATTGCCCAATTAGGGTCATCCGGATTTGCAGAAGTTTGTACTTATGTTCTCATCGAACTGGTGAATTTTGCAGGTTTGCTTGTCTCTCTCTTATGAGAGTATGATGTACTGTTGTCTGATGTATACGCTAATTGGACATTTCCGCCAGCTTTCACGCTTTTCCTGTGTACGCAATACGCCCGTAAGCGTGTTACAGACATGTTATTTCCGAGTGGCAAAATTGCATCGTCAGGATGCATCACCTGCGCAATAACGTCTTACCAGGTTGATAAACTGATCCATGAACGTCTTACCAAGTTGATAAACTGATCCATGTACAAAGAAAGGTAAGCTATCAGAACATGCGCACGAGATGCGAACAACAATGAGAAGCGATACTTCAGAAACCTCAAGGTTACTGACAGACAGAATTGCAGGCTTGCAGCTATACGAAAGAGGAGCTGAACAAAAAAGAAGGAAAAAAAAGAAACCCCTATGCTGATTTTACAACACAACTATGAAATCTACAAGACTACAAGCAGCATTAGCCGACGCACAAAAGATCTCAGCATTCACATAAAGAAAACTGCGTTATGAGCCAATCAATCGCTCGTATCTCCAAAGATACTGCTATAGACAGTTTTAGAGATAAATTAATTGCATTCTCCGTGCTGTCAGGCAACGCAGAGTATGAGCTTGTAAGAACTAACTGACCGCCCCATCACGCAGCAACTTGCCAAACGCTTAAATTTGGCTTGCTTGAAGTGTCAGTTCCAGAATTGTTTGCGGACTCCACATCTGGCTTGCTTGCAGAGTTTTTGCTGGGTACCGTCCGGGGTTTCTTGTCAGTGTTGCCAAATGCCTCCAAAGCATCCAAGAAGAACTTTTTATTTGGAACAATACCCTGTGAGTTCATCCGTTTGAGCAACTTCTGAATAAGCTTCTTGTCGTTTGCTTTGGTGTAGGCCTTGTAAAGCAATTTGTATGTGGAAGCACTGGGCACAGCACCTTTCTTAATTACAGAATCTAACAGCTGATCTGCTTCCATGGGCAAGCCGTTCATGCAGTACGCATCAAGCATTGCGTTCACTGATGACAGGTGTACATTATTTTGTGAGCTCACAAGCTCATCGAATATCTGTCTGGCCCTTGAGACACAATCACAATATGCATACATCATGATTAGACATTCTTGTGTCACATAGTTCGGTTTGAATCCCATTTCAGTCATCTTATCAAGCACACACTCTGCTTTCTCCCTGAGTCTCGCTTTCCCGTAGTTGGTTATCATGGAATTGAAAGTTGGGTGTGTAGGCTTCTCCTTTGATCGTAGTAAGCTCTTGAACACCTGCTCCATCTTATCGAATGCCTGCTTTCGCCCGTAAGAATCTATGAGTATGTTGAATGTGATTACATCTGGACGACATTGATTGCTTTTCATCCGTACTAGCACAGATTCCATCTCTGTGATCATGCCATTCTTCCCGTAAGCGTCCATGACTCCATTGTAGGTATAGATATCAGGAGAGACAGGGCTTTCATCCAGATCCTTAAACAAGATGTCTAGCTGTTTTGTGTCACCAGCCTGAGCAAAAGCTCTTAGGAGAATGTTATATGTCACAATATTTGGTTGGCACCTATCAATAGTCTTCATCTTTTCAAAATAGCCGAGAGCTTTCGCCAAAGCCTTGCTCTTGTCTCGCGAATGCAAATGTGTGCCGATAAGAGAATTATACACTGAAGTGTCCGGCCTACACCCACTGTTCCGCATCTGAGAGAACAGCCACATTGCCATCCGTATCTGGCCTTTCCTTCCCATCACAGATATCAGCTTCGAATATATGCCGTTATCAGCAACATACCACCTTTGTTTCTGCATCCATCTGAAAACCTAGCAAAATAGAAGAGCAGTAAGGAACCAGTAGATATGTCCAACTTACAGGAACTTCAAAATTCATCTCTTGTTGATCCACATCAACACCCTAAAATGGCACTTATGATAGCAATCAGGGGATTAGTACACAAAAGCAGGCATACTGCTAGTCAATTGTGATTTGAGTTGGGCTCATAGGCAAAGATTATATGTGACACGAAATGTAAACCATGGTAAAAGTCTCTCACTTTCAGTAGAAAGGCGTTGTTACTGTAGAAACCTAAAGGGCGTAAGGAGAAACAGGGTTTTTCACTACTCGGGCATTGGGGCACTTCGCCATGCTCACCTCGAGACACTGGAGCCAGCCGTCGCGGCGGCCGAGCTCCTCGAAGAGGAGGAAGCAGTGCTCGGTGCGGACCACCTTCACGTGGCGGTCAAGCACGGCCACGAGCCGCTCCTTGCCGCCGCTCGTCCTCCGGAGGAAGAACCGCACCAGGTCCGCCGCCTCGGCGGCCTCGTCCGCCCCTTCCGCCGCCGCGGCACCCGCGCCCCGCCTCTTTCCCCTGGCTGCCGCAGCCGCCATGTGCCGCCGCGCGGCGGGGGCAGCGGCGGCGCCGTGGTGGCGCGGCGGCCACGGGCTCGATGTGGTAGGGTAGGCGAGCATCGGGTTAGGTCAAAAGGAGAGGCCCCTTAGGTTTGCATTGGATAGGGTTGGCCGGCGGCGAGTGGCGGCAACTGCCGTCGGGAGGGAGGGGCGCGGCGCGGGTGGGGGGAGAGGAGGCCGAGGGGATAGGGGGGGAGGAGATGGATGGATTAGTGCGATTTTGGACGGCTCAGATTATCGGCTTCGTACGATTAGTGTGAGTTGGACGGTGAGGATTGAACAGTTACCAGAAAAATGAGGCAAAAATGAAAAGAAAAAAGGAGATCCGTTTGGATCGGGGATTTGAACCCGACGTGAATCGAACACGCAACCTTCTGATCTGGAGTCAGACGCGCTACCATTGCGCCACGGATCCTTGGTGATTACAAATGCTAACTACAGGTATTAATTAAAATACTAACTTAATGAGCAAGCACCTCAGCAGATCCTGCCCCTGAACTTTTGACGTGGGACGGAAGCACATTCCAAGTGAAATTTTGAATGGTTTTCGAAAATTAAAATTTAAAACAGTAAATTTGGTAGAAATTTGATCATAATCTATCGAAATTTGGCAAAAACTGTCATACCGTCGAAGGTCGGGATTCAGCGCTCAATCAGAAAGATGAACCCTAATCCCTAGTAACACTTGCCACATGCCATGGTCATGGCTAAGGTTGCAGCAAAACGAAGAAATCTCAGCAGCAAACCTGGTACACTTATAAGACGCTGCAAAACTTGAATTTAAAGCTTAATTTTAGAGTTGATTTTGAGAGGGTTTTTTTCATCATATTTTAGTTTTCAACAATGCTTTTAAACCACAAATAACACAGATAAAAAAAGTTTTACTTATAAATTAATTTTTTGTTTGCTTGTGCTCCCTCCGTACTCGTAAAGTCGTTTAGAACAATGTTTATGTCAAACCTTAGGAATATAAATCATAAATAACTCTCAAGTTATTGAGTTTGAAAATGTAAAAATTATATGAATAGATTTGTCTTGAAAAATACTTTCATAAAAGTATACATGTATCAATTTTTAAATAAATATTTTTATAGAAACAAGAAGTCAAAGTTGTGTTTTGGAGACCGTGTCGCTGTCCAAAACAACTTCCTTTACTAGTACGGAGGTAGTATAACGTTTTATGGCATATTACCTGACTTACATTGAAGCAAAAGTTCAGGGCACGCATAAAACGGAACACCACATGATATATTGATCTCGTTTATCAGATGAAAACAATGGCACTTTCTATACATATCTGCAAACTCTATCGGCAGGTACATAATGGAGGAGCAGCCTCGCTATAGTTTAGTATTTGAAGCAAATTACAAGGGCAACGAAAGAAAAGAGAATTACATTGGCTCCGGCCAAAAAATGAAAAGAAATGCAGAAAAGAATGTTGTCGTGATCGTCATATGTATTTGAGCCTCCTCCATTATATCTTCAGTTCTGAAGGGGATGAGGACCAGCATTCTTGACAAGCCTTCGAGATTCCCTGTGACAATGGAGCTGCAAAAGGATGAACAGTCTGTCACTAATTAAACTGCATTTGCATATTAGATTGACAGGTTTGCAGATTATAAGAGCAGCCTCATGTGATCACAAAAGCCAAATTCCTTCGCCACTTTGCCCTAATGCCCTCACACTTATGAACTACTTTCAATGATTGTTTTCTCTGCTCCATCGCACAAGACAATCTTCTACAGTTCTACTCTGAACTTGGCAGAGCAAATCTATTGAAAACTTCCCCCATGAGGCCGAGACATGGAGCTAGTGAACGCAACACACGCTACTCTACAAATTCTGCTAAAAAAAATATGCAGGCCAAGATAATCAAACAGTGCAAATTTTGGAATCCAGCTATGTATTATTTCAGCAGTAATGCTTACCAAACATTCAACAATCACATGAGAGCAATGTATGTTGCACTTGCACAAGAGTAAGAGACAACAGGAGGAGAGGACCTAAGGGCCAAGGCAGCGCCGCCGGGAGGGTGGTGGATGCCGATCAGACGTCGAGGGTTACTGCGGGCATCTCGAACTCGGAGGTGATCTCCTCGATCTGCTTCCGGACGCTCATGTCGATGAGGCTGGACCCGTCGCGGCCGTACTGGATGGTGAAGCCGGCGATGAGCTCCGGGTCGATGCGGGTCTTGACCCGGACGTTCTTCGCGCCGGTGAGATTCTGCACCTGCTGCGCGATCTGCGCGAGGTCCTGCGACTCGAGCTGCACGACGGAGGTGACGGTGGCCACCTCGGTGCCGGTGAGCGAGTTGAAGGCGTTCTCGAACTCCCGCACGATCTGCGTCATGAGGCCCGCGCGGCCGTTGTCCACCACGACGTTGAGGAAGTTGACGACGTGCGCCTGGAGCTCCGACGACTTGGCGATCTCGTCGATGAGCTGGGCCTTCTCGTCGCGCGGCACCGTCGGGTTGTCGAAGAACTCGGCGATGGCCTCCTCCGCGAAGATCTTCTCCAGCTTCTCCAGGTCCGACACGGTCGCCTCGAGCGTGCCGTTCTCCGAGGCCACCTCGGACAGCGCCGTCGCGTACCCCTCCGCCGCGGCGTCGGCGGCGGCCCTGCGCCTGGCGAGGTCCCCGCGGCGGCGCGGCGGCGCGAGGCGGAGCGAGGGGAACCCGCGCGCCGCGGCGCGGGCGAAGTTGGCGGACCGCGGCGCGGCGGCGGACGAGGGGGAGGCGGCGGGGCGGAGGGTGACGGAGGTGAGGCGGAGGGTGGCCATCTCGTCGGGAGGTGGGGAGTGGTGCGCGGCGGAGTGGTGGACTCGAGGAGTGCGGCTTGGCTTGGCTTGGCTTTGCGCTGGCTTGGGAGGCGGAGAGGCGAGAGAGGAAGAGAGGGGTTTGGGTGGGGGATGGACGGGCGGGATCTGCTGGTCTCCCGATCGGACGGTGGAGGCGCTCGAGCGCGCGGCGTGGCAGGAGGTGTGTGGCCGGCGGTGGGGATGATGCGGATAAGGAACGGATGATTGTGAGTAGGCTGATCGAGACGGGAGGATAGACAGACCGCCACTGCGGCAACAACGTCTACTCTGTCCATCTTATTAAAAAACCAATCTAATATTAGACGTGACACATTTTAATACTATAAATTTAGACATATATCTAGAGACACGGTATGGAGATGAATCTGGATATATCTCTAAGGACACGGTGTTGAGACGGGCGAGTGGATTCTTCAGAGATGGGAGCATCACGAGAGGCTGCGTCACGGAAGGATGCTATAGCTAGAAAATTGAAGGGTTAATTGGATCCATGCCACTGCAAATGTGGCAAATCAAAAAAATACCACTACTATTCACGTTATCGGGTAGATGCCACTGTAATCTTCTAAAATTAGAACCATGCTACTCCCGTCACTATTTTCGGCCTCCTCTCTCACGTCGTCATCCTCCTCACTCACGTCTGCAAGGGGAGAAGGCGACGTGGTGCCGGCGAGCGGCGAAGATGAGGCGGTGCCAGCGAGAGGACGGGGAGAAGGCAAGCAGCGAGGACGAGGAGGCGCTGGCGAGCGGTGAGAGGTCAAGGCCGCCGCCGGCAAGGATGCTCGCGGGGAGGTCGTGGAGGGGCGCGGGGAGCGGGCGCAGTCGCCGGCGAGGACGATCGCGGAGGCGGGCGTGGCCACCGCTAGCGAGGACGATCACAGAGGGGCGCGGGGAGGGCGGAAGAGCTTGTCCTCTCGCCGCTCCTTCCCCATCCACTGACGTGCTACCCTCCTCCGGCGCCGTGCTGCCATCTGTCGTCATGCTGCCGTCCTACAGCTGCCCATCCGTCATTGAGACGAGGACGACGAGAAGATGAAGACGGAAACGGTGGAAATCATGGAGTGGCATGGTTCTAATTTTAGAAGATTTACAGGGGCATCTACCCGATAACGTGAATAGTAGTGGCATTTTTCTGATTTGCCACATTTGCAGTGGCATGGATCCAATTAACCCAAAATTGAATGGGCTATTCAGATTGATGCCAATTTTTGGTAAAGTTGACAAAGGTGTGCATACATTTATTTTCTTGCTAAACTTTGATAAACACATGAGAAATTCTACCAAAATTTTGATAATATTATTCTCAAAAAAAAATTGATAATATTACCAACTTATTAAAATTTTTGGCAATACAGGGTTTATTTTAGCAACAATCTGAACAGCCCCGTGGTAGATTCTAGCACCCATATACAGTAGGACGGAACGACCCATCAGAAAAACTGTAAACATTGAATGTCGTGCTCTATGAAATCCCGTAGCATTTCAAAACATGGATACACCCTATCAAAGCCAACTCTATGCATTGCATTCTATCAATTTCCTCCTCCTTGCTGGGTTTTAGCTGTAGCCTGTAGACTTGTGTTAACACCATACTGGAACTCTCCATTTCTCTACCAAATTTTGTACTTCCTCCGTTTCACAATATAAGTCATTCTAGTATTTCTCATATTTATATTGATGATAATGAATCTAGATAGATATATATGTGAAATGCTACAATGACTTACATTATGAAACGGAGGGAGTACATGACACCACAACTTCAATTCTTCAAAGCAGGACCATCAACTAAATATCACCAGCATTTCTCTCTTTTTTCTCCCCCAAAACAGGAGAAAATTTTCTGTGCTGTAAAACTGCTTACCTTGAAAAAGCAACTTCTTATTTGGTTTCCTATATAGATAATTCTACGGATGGGTATAACCAATAAACTCTGGTACAACCAGATTAACAAACCGGCGCAATTACTGAAGTCGTCAATGCACTAAACAGTAATATTCATGAGCTGGCTATAGATCTGTTCAAATCATACAGAAGCATCGGCTGACAAACAAATTGCAGCATTGCAGCGCAACTCCAGGCTAAAACATTCCTTAAGTAAGCATGCAAAAATCCTTGTGGTGTGCGAGGCATTAAAATGAGAACAAGAGTGCACTAAAATTAGATGTTTGTCTCAAAAAGCACAGATGAAATCACAAATACAGATCGCTAGAAATCATCTAAGAACTGAGCAAGATGTAAAATGCAGAACATTATCAAGTTCCTAGGCAGAATAAACCTCCAGCATCTCTGTTTTAGATTTCAGGAAACATTTTCCCTTCACGGGCAGCCAGATAAGCTTTTTCAAGTCCTGGAACAGACCTGTGGTATGGGAGAAGGAACTTCTTAAAAAAGCTCTCTTCAACTATTTTAACCATAGAGTAAAAATCAGTGTCTTTCTTCAGCAGGCCCTTTTCATTCAGAACCTTCATGACATGATAACGCGGCATCAGCCGTTTCTGAATGCTATAGCCGAGCAATGCTGGCCGGAGCACAATGTACTGAGGCTCCAACCCAACCTCCGCTTTCAGGAATTCCAGTGAGCGGCTCAGCTTAACTTCTGAGTATGTCAGGATTAGTGGAAACCTAGACACCGCAATGTGTAGCTGGGCATCTGAGCATCCAATAACCATCCTCAAGAAATCAAGTTTTGCGCTGACCCTCACTGGGCTGATGCCGGTAACAGCCATCAGGGCATACCTGAAACCAGCTGACTCACGGGGCATACCGAACTTGTCTGCACACGCCACAATTTCCTTGACATGCTCTGGCTGCATAATGAGTATCCTAGAGCCAGACATGAGGATCTTGGCAATATCACAAGTAGTTAGGCCGCACTGCTCCAGGAATGCAATGTTGGGCTTGACCTCACTCTCGATGTTGTTTCGCCGTAGAAGGGAGGAATTGTTCCGAAGGGCGGAGTGCACCCTGGGGTAGGAGCCCAAAAAGGAGAGGTAGAATTCAAGGCGGGAGATCGTGCGAGGATTGGAGAGGATGCAGGGGGCGATGGTAATGAGGCGGCCAATCTCGGGAGTGGATAGGCCGATATCCCGGAGCCGGGCTACTTGGGAGGTTAGGGTTTCGTCCACCTTGAGATGGAGGAACCGCGGGTACCGTGAGCTTGCGGCGGCGATGTCGTCTTTGGAGAGGCGGAAGTCGGCGAGAAAGGCGAGGAAGGTGAGGGCGGCGTCTAGATTTGAGGGTACCTTCTGTAGACGCTTCGAGGCCTTGAGGGCTTCGGCTCCGGTGAGGCCGCAGGCGGCGACGAGGGCGTCCTCGTCGACGAAGCGGGTGGGGGATAAGGTGGCGGTGGAGGCGGAGAGAAGGCGGCTGCTGAAGTGGGAGGCAGGGAGAGGGAAGGCGGCGCGCAGGGCGGGAAGGAGCTGCTTTTGGAGGCGCTGCATAGCGCCGGCGCGGCGGCGCGGCGGCGAAGGGTCGCGCCGCGAACGGACGGCGGTATCGTGCCCTGTGGTGAGGGAGATTTGGGCTTCAGTCTTCACGGGAAGAAGAAATAAGGCCCGTGATCGAGTTCCATCTTGGGCCTACGGAACACAATTTTAGCCCAAAGTACTGTAACCCATGAAATCCCGGATTTGTTGGGCCTACTCAACTCCACGGCATCCTTTTTCACTCTCTTTATTACTCCCTCCGTTTCTAAATATTTGGCACCGTTGACTTTTTAGCACATGTTTAACCGTTTGTCTTATTTGAAAATTTGTGTGAAATATGTGAAATTATATGTCTACATAAAAGTATATTTAACAATGAATCAAATGATAGGAAAAGAATTAATAATTATTTAATTTTTTTAACAAGATAAATGGTTAAACATGTTTAAAAAAAAATCAACGGTGTCAAATATTTAGAAACGGGTGAATGAAGTATATGGAGTAGTGCTTTTTCTAATCTTGGGTTGCCTAAGTTTTTGCTTTGCAACAGTAGGCATGCAATCCAAGAAACATGCTAGTATACGATAGGAAAGCCTCTGCCTATCCAGTTGAACAGCTTGAAAAATAACCTCTTCTAAAGCTTCAGCCGCAACTTGTTCTATGCCGTAGAGGAACACTCCTCATTCTGATGATTTGCTGAGAACCAGATCAACCTTTTCCATCTCCTTATGTAGAGTGTTCTTCCCTAGTCCCGCAATTTATCTAGTTATATCTTTGCTCAGATGGTTCTTCACTTTCTCTCGTTCAACTTGGAATTGGAAGATGCACATCAGGACATCGTGATCGCTGATCATGCCAGAAGCCAGCTAGAGTGTAAGCCTGTAACAAAGAAAATGAGTACCATAGGAGACGTAATGCTCACAGATTTTATATGAAAACCCACTGAACATTGTTCAACCACAACTGAACAGTTCTCAAGGTTGTTATACACATCCACCTCCTTGTCAACTGCAAGAAACCTACACTAAAATGACCATGAATTGAATCTGCCATCCCTGCTATAGTTGATCAGTAGAATGAAGTTATCCAATGGAAGTGAGACACACACACATACACACCTCCATTGTTCTCCCCCAAGTCCGGTCACTACTCAGCTTGCACCGGCGTCTTCCCGGCACAGGCAGACTCGTAGGCGTCGGCGAGACCCGGGACGCACCCCTCAAAGGGGACAACAAACTTCTCCAAGAACTTCTCTTCAGTTGGCGCCACCGCGTTGAAGAAGCACCGGTCTTGCTCGATCAGACCCCTCTCCTTGAGAAGTTTCACCACGAGATGGCGGGGCACCAGCCTCCTCTCGAGGCTGTACATGAGCAGCACCGACCGCCGCGCGACGTACTGCGGCTGCAGCCCGACCTCGTCGATCAAGAACTCCGCGTTGCGGCGCAGCCTCTCCTCGGACGCGACCAGGATCCGCGGCGCCTTGCTCACGGCCAGGTTCACCTCCTCCTGCGACCACCCGAGGCTCTCCTTCAGGACGGCGACCTTGGCGTCGATCTTGTCCTGGCCGATGCAGCCGGCGGTGGAGAGCGCGTGCCGGAACATCTGGGAGCCCGGGGCCACGCCGAGCTGGATGGCACGCCGCACGGCGTCCTTGACGTAATCCGGGTGCATGGTGACAAGCCGCGGCGCGGCCACGAGCAGCTTGGAAATATCACGAGCACTTAGCCCGCATTCCTTGAGGAAGGAGACGTTGGGCTCGACCACCTTCTCGAGGTCGGAGGTGAGGAGCCAGTAGTTCCAGTCGCTGGCCTGGAGAAGCCTCTCCGATGAGCCGAAGAGGGGGAGCCAGAACCGCACCTTGGAGACGAAGCTGCGGCAGAGGAAGTAGCGGCCGGTGATCTGGGCGAGGCGGGCGATCTGGGAGGGGGAGAGGCCGACGGCGCGGAGCTCCGAGCAGATGGGTGCAAGGGAGCGGTCGATGCGGGCGCACAGGATGCGCGGGTTGGAGGCAACAATGGCCGCGACCTCCTTGGGGGAGAGGCCGAAGTCGGCGAGGAAGGCGAGGACGGCGTCGGGGTTGGAGCGGGACTTGAGGTGGGCGATGCTCTTGGACGCCTTGTGGGCCTGTGGCTGGGTGAGATTGCAGTTGGAGATGAGGTATTCCTCGACAGAGAAGTGGTTGTCGGGCGCGGTGGTGGTGGTGGTGGTGGCGGAGGCGGCTTCGGGCGCGGCGCGGGAGAGGAGCTGCAGGCGGAGGCGGCAGCGGGTGGGGAGGTGGACGGCGGCGAGGGGAGTGGAGGCGAGGAGGAGGAGAGGCATGGGAGCGAGGAGCATGGCCGCTCCCATGGCCGGGGAGGGGAGACGTGGCGGGGAGAGAGTGGGTGATTTTTTTGACCGAGGTTGTGTAATCCGCAGCTTGGGAGGCGCAGCTCCGCAGGCGCTCGCGGTCGCGGAGGGGATGAGACGATGAGCCTAGTACTCCCTCCACGCCCACAAAACAAGTCGTTCTGGGCTCTTAGTCCGTTTTCACAAAACAAGTCGTCGTTCCTCAGTGGGGTATAGTTTGGACGCGTATGCCCCTGATGCGAGAGCCGAGTGACGAGCGGCGAGGCAAGAAACGAGGCGACGTGATTAATGCCGCCTTAAGCTGAATGGACGTGATTAATGGCACACGCACGTCGCTCGCACACGCTCGCCGCTCGCACACGCGCGTCTCTCTTCCTTGCCGCCCGGCTGCCGAGCGCCATGATGGAGTACGTCGAGTCGCTAGAGTACGTCAAGGCGCCGGACTCCGTCGACGCGCTGGACACTGTTGACGAGGGCCCAAACGAGCACCATGCAAAATCAGCAAAAAAAACAAGCCCACCAGGAATCGAACCTAGGCACTAAGCCTTCAAACCTCACTGCACTAGCTATTTGAGTTCTGTTTGTTTCTCAAATGAATGCACCCGCACCCTCATTTAATAAGGGAAAACATGAAAGAATAGCCCTGATTAATCACTCCTTGGTAACCACAATTTTGTTTTAAACGACTTGTTTTGTCGGTATGGAGGGAGTACGCTGTACGCCCAAACCTGTCCTGTTCTTTGGGCCGTAGGCTCCGCCCTTTGCTTGTAGCGGTCGCCCATCAACGGCCTAATTGGAGTCCAGCCAATTTGTCCGGCTGTTACGCTGGCTTGCGGCCCGTGCGGTCACGATCATTTTTGCAAAATTCAGCTGTAGAATTTGGTTTGCATTTGGATGTTAGAAACGTAGCAGCAGTGATAATTATGTTGGTTTCCGCATGTTTGATTCAGCATAGAATTATTGTAATTTAAATTATTAGAAGTAAACTGAAATAAACAAGTAAATTATTACTCCCTCCGTCTCAAAATATATCAACTTTTACTTGGATAAGATGTACCTTATATCTTATATCCAGATTCATAGTACTAGAATACGTCTCATCCAACCAAAAATTGCTATATTTTAAGACGGAGGGAATATGATAGATTATTATAATCCATAAGTCAGATTAGTATAAACTTATTATATTATAGATTATTGGAGACATATAGGACATTTTTTAGCCACCCAACAAAAAATCACTACCCCTATATATCTCTAATAATAAAACAAACAAACAACTCACAACTTATTTTATATCAACTTATTATAATCTAGCTTACAGTAATATGATTTAATATTCTAGATTATAATAACATTAATCTGAAACAAACGTCATCATTGTGCACTCTCTGGATTAACTTTTCACATTCTGGAAGATTAGTGTTGCCATTGCCAGCGTTAAGTGACAGTCACAGTCGCACAGTAGCAATGGCAGCGTTGAGCTTTGAATTATAAGTTCTATGACCACAAATGCATATTTCCTCGACTTCGCTTTTTTTTTTCTCACACACATTTGCATTTTTTTTAGGTCCCTAGCACGAATCTCAATAAAAATACAATTGTCAAAAAATTGCAATATCTCTAACAAAAAATCTTGCGATAGATGTATAACAATTTCAGTGTTTATTTGTAGGAAAAATACTATAATTGCGTTGACATATTTTTAGTGGATTACAGTTGATTTTCATGGCGTTTGATTTGTTTACCGTGCAAGATACGATTCTTCAGTGCAAACTATGGAATATATAGTGTAAATGCATATTGAAAATTATAATTATTTTTAAGAAAAGATTATATCAACATAAATATAGTCGGTCCAAAAAAAATCTGGCGTTTATATTGTTGTGTATCTTCACTTTTGCACTAGATCAATTTGAAAACTTCCTTCCAATAACTTATAAATAGATATGAGAAAGATATTTAAGTCATGCTTGACATAGCTTCAGATTTTATTATACATAAGAAACACAACGGGGTGTCAGACGGTCCAAGAACATATGCGATATTCCGTGCAGATACGAGGAGCTTTTTTTAAAAAGAAAATCCCAACAGGCGTAAAACTCTCCGAGGAGCCGAAAAAAATCAAAAAAGGAGGAAATCCGTAACATTACAACTGTTAATGGCTAGTTATATCCACGGTAAATCTAAAGTTTGTATGTTAAATTATAGTGGTTTAAAATTTTAAAAAACACCTAAAATAAAAACGAAATAACTTATCCAAATATTATATATCGACGTGATTATAGCTTTATCGATGATTTATCAAGTATTTGTGATGTTAAGAATACTCAATTTAAAAAATCTTGGATCGGGAGATGCGTCAAAAGAGAGCCTCAATGTTTGATATCAATTTCAAAATCTTCCTGGCGGCCCTTCTTTCCTTATTTATTTTTTTTAGAAAAAAAGAAAACAAGCTTCCTGGCCGCCGAACGCATGCAGACGTGCCCTTTGAGGCTGGCGTGTTCGGAACCCCTTCTCCCAACCCTCTCGCTAGTTCTCTGCGCTTATGTTTTTCAAACTGCTAAACGGTATGTTTTTTTGCAAAAAGTTTATATGAAAATTGTTTAAAAAAATTAAATTAATCTATTTTTTTTAAAAAAATAGCTAATACTTAATTAATCACGCGCTAATAGACTGCTCCGTTTTTTGTGCGGAGAGAACGAGTTCCCATCCTGGAGATGCAAACACAACCTGAGACTTAATCGAGTGCGTGCTTATTTACTTCGCTAGGCTACGACGAAATCACGAAAACCCACCTACTCAATGTATGATAATCGAATTAACAATCTTCATGGCCACCGAACACATGCAAACGTGCCCAATGAGACTTTTGATCAAGTGCTTACGTGCCCCACCAGGGTACAACGAAATACGGATGTGTGTCTGCTCAAGGTCAATTTCCGCGTTGATTAGTCAGTTCGTTAACAACATCGACTACTCTATAATTAAGTTAATGATTGGGTAAAGACGCAGGAAACGGATGCGCATGTCTGGGAAGGACTAGTTCAAGATGTCGTCGTCAGTCAGTCAATTTCAAAATCTTCCTGGCTATACATTTTTTTAGTGGCTGGTCCAAAGGCTGGACAACGTCGCCACAGCAGCATGCATACATACATACAACTACAGCACAAACAAAACACGCAGCGAGAGGCCCGACAATCAACTCACGCCATTTTTAACATTTTTCACGCCGCGGCTGCTGGAGAACGATTCGCTAGTTCCGTGGGACAATAGGTGGGCTGCAGGGCGGTATATAGAATAGTCATCAGTCGTCAGATTCATGCATGGGTGCGTTGCGTTTCCTATAAATACATTTGGCCAGATGGCCATCTGCAAATCAGCAGCTTACGGCACTAGTTAGCTACTGTGCAAGAACCAAACAGTTAATCGCATACAGAATCTCAATTAGCTCTGTGTTTCTTACCCTTGGATTGGCGATTGAATTGTGTGCGTTCGGCGATGGGAACAGCCAAGTTACCTGCATTGCTTTGGTTACTAGCAGGCGTGGTGTTAGCACTTGCAGTTAACCCCGCTCATGGCGCCAAGACTCGCCACTACGATTTCTTCGTAAGTGATCTACTTGAATTCTAGCGTGTTCACTGATGGATGCCGATGTACAGGCATGAATGCACGAAATGAGTTTTGAGTTTTAACCATGCGTGATGCCCCCCCTGCAGATTACGGAGACCAACTACACGAGGCTCTGCCACGAGAAGAGCATCCTCACCGTGAACGGGCAGTTCCCCGGCCCGACCATCTACGCGCGCAAGGGCGACCTCGTCATCGTCAACGTCCACAACAACGGGAACAAAAACATCACCATCCACTGGTAAACCACATCCGTTTTGCCACCTGCTGCAGAGAAGAAGAGCATTATCCTTGGCTCGAAACTTACGGTGTTCTCGATGATTTTACTGTGGCGCAGGCACGGCGTGGACCAGCCACGGAACCCGTGGTCGGACGGGCCGGAGTTCATCACGCAGTGCCCGATCCGGCCGGGCGGCAACTTCACCTACCAGGTGATCCTGTCCGAGGAGGAGGGCACACTGTGGTGGCACGCGCACAGTGACTTCGACCGCGCCACCGTCCACGGCGCCATCGTCATCCACCCCAAGCGCGGCACCACCTTCCCCTTCAAGAAGCCAGACAAGGAGATACCCGTCATCCTTGGTATACACAAGCCACAACAAACTAATCTTGTTAATTTGATAATGTTCCATTGCGCAATGCAATGCTTCGTACGTGTTTTGATCTTAACCATCTCTATGATGTTCTGCAGGTGAGTGGTGGAATGACGACATAGAGCACGTGCTCGACAAGGCGCAGCTCCTCGGCGGAGACGTGGATCCGTCCAACGCCAACACCATCAACGCCCAGCCTGGGGACATGTTCCCCTGCTCCAGGGACGACACGTTCAAAGTGGCCGTGCAGCAGGGCAACACGTACCTGCTTAGGATCATCAACGCTGGACTCACCAACGACATGTTCTTCGCCATCGCGGGGCACCGCCTCACCGTGGTCGGGATCGACGCCCGCTACACCAAGCCGCTCACAGTCGACTACATCATGATCGCGCCTGGCCAGACCATGGACGTGCTCCTCGAGGCCAAACGCACCTTGGGATCCAACAGCCGGTATTACATGGCCGCGAGAACGTTTATCACGTTACCGCTCGACACTATCCCTTTCAACAATAGCACTGCCACGGCTATCGTGGAGTACACGGACAGCGTCACCGCGAGGCCGGTCGGGCCACCGGAATTCCCCGTCCAGCTGCCGGCCATCAAGGATGAGAACGCGGCGATGGCGTTCGTCACGCAGCTCAGATCATTAGGCAACCAGGAACACCCGGTGCACGTACCGACACATGTCGATGAGCACATGCTCATCGACATTGACATCAACGTTCTTCCCTGCGACCCCACCAACATGGCAGAGAAGTGCAAAGAAGGACCCCAAGGCAACCGGTTCGCGGCGAGCCTCAACAATGTTAGCTTCCAGAGCCCGGCTATCGACGTCCTCGACGCCTACTACTATAGCTCTGGCCACGGCGTGTACGAGGAGGACTTCCCCAACAAGCCGACAGCCTTCGTCGACCCGCCCGTCAACAACGGCAGTGGGCCCTTGATGACGAAGCGTGGCACCAAGGTGAAGGTGCTGGAGTACGGCACTGTGGTAGAGGTGGTGTTTCATGACTTGTCCAGCGAGAACCACCCTATGCATCTGCATGGCTTCGCCTTCTACGTCGTGGGACGAGGGAACGGCACCTTCGACGAGAGCAGGGACCCGGCGACCTACAACCTCGTTGACCCGCCGTTCCAGAACACGGTCTCTGTGCCCAGGTCCGGCTGGGCCGCAATCCGCTTCCGAGCAGACAATCCAGGTGAGAGTTATTCAGATTTCGGATTATGGTCTTTGATATTGGTCTTTATGTACAGTTTTTAATATTTTTTTCGTGTTTATTTTGATTGTTCAGGTGTGTGGTTCATGCATTGCCATTTTGATCGCCACGTGGTGTGGGGGATGGACACTGTGTTCATCGTGAAGGACGGCAAGACACCGCAGGCTCAGATGCTGCCTCGTCCTCCAAACATGCCTCAGTGCTAATGACCGTGGTTCAAGGAAAATAACAAGAGCATGCATCACAAGCAAGCGGAAATTTGTTTATTTTGTTGATTGATTTAGTGGTTTATATTTTTTCCTTGTTTCGATGAAAAGGAAGAACGCATTCTGTCTTGACTTGTAATTGTTAGTCATTTCGTTCTGTCATGTAAGTTTGGGATTTTATGAATATAACTAAATAATGTTTATGTAGTGGATCGTTATTATGACGTCTTTCTTTATAAACACACACATCCTTGCTATCTTATCTATGACATTGTGTTACAGTACTGTTTTAGTTTTTCGCAAGGTGGTGTCCTTCCCTTCGCTTAGGGTAGGATGAAAAGCTCGTAGCTCATTAGCTCGCTCGGCTCGGATCGTTGTATTTTTGTAATGAGTCGAGCCAACGTTTTAGCTCGTTAGTTATAAGAAAAAAGGACAAGAAAAAGGCCCATCTTCTGTACCCTTTTTTTAGAACTTTTTCTATCGTAGTTGGAGTTGTCTCCAGTACGTTCCCCAATCCCCTCGATCTATTGCTGCTCTCTCTCCTCTAGTTGTCTCTAGCCGGTCACACACTCCACCCGTTGCTCCACCATGCCTGTGCCTCACCTTCACCGGTGGCCATCGTCTTCATAGGCCAGCTGGCCGCCCGTAGAAGCAGGAGCTCGTCGAGCACTCAACACTATCCACAGCACACACCTAACCACATTTCTCCTGCTCCAACTTTGTTGTGATTTGTGACCTTGCCGGTGTGCCATATGCCGCCACCTTGGCAAGGCAAATAGATAACTCCCCATCTCCTTTCGTTGCATTGCCGGCATCACCTCCCATCCGCGTGTGTTCATTCGTCGCCCGAGGAGTACGTCGCTCCGACGAGGTCCAGCCAGCACCGCCGCGCCATAGCCATGTGGCCCTCCTCCTGCTCGATTTGTTGGTCGTCGTGGAGTCCACTGCTCCGACGAGGTCTGGCCGGCGCTGCTATGTGGTGCTCCTTCTTGACTCGTCGGCCATGGAGTCCGTCGTTCGCTCGCCCTTCCAGATCCAGCTCAGCTCTGGGCATGCGTCGTCCAAATCTAGCTCGCGAGCTAAACGAGCTGGCTCAAGCTTACAATTGACCCGAGCCGAGACAGACTTTTAGCTCGTTAGGATAGCGAGCCGAGCCGAGCCAGCTCGTTATCTTAACGAGCTAGAGCGAGCCGAGCCGAGCCAGCTCGATATCCACCCCTACCTTCGCTTAGTCTCACAAGGTTTTTTGTTTTTAACTAGTCACTACCTCTTGTACTATAATTGCTAAACCAAGTGAGAAGAAAATAATGACACAATTGAACAATCTTACTATCAAATAGCTACTCCATCATTTTTAATATATCACACCGTTGACTTTTTAAGACACGTTTGACCATTTATTTTATTAGAAAAAATGTATAATTATCATTTATTTTGTTTGTGCTTGATTTATCACAGGTCCTGTAAGTATTATGTACAAAATTATATATTCGAAGAAAAAAAATACGACGAACGACCAAACGTTTGTCAAAAGTCAATGGCATCATGTATTAAAAAACATAGATGGTACATTATAAGTACATTTCTATTTTTAAGACAACTTCTTAATATTTTGTTTGTCTTGAAATAAAAAAAAGCCTATGCTTCTACCACTTTATTGTGAGCTACATAGCTCCGAAAGCATATCCTAGAACTAGCGAACGCTTAGTTATGTTAAAGATTCGGTCAAAAATTAAAAATTTTGCATATCAATGTGAGTTATTTCTCAAATGCTTAGTTTAGAAAACAAAATAAATTATACATGTGGATTTTCCTAAAAAGTATTATCATAACATATCACACATCTATTAGATTTTACACTTTTATTCTAATGTGAAATTGATTGTCGAAATTTTTTAAAAAACTGAACAGCCTTTTCCCTTAAACCTTAAATATCTACCCACTCCGTTCCAAAACATAAACATTTTTAGGATTCAAATTTTGTATATAGGAGGGTAATCCAAACAATTGAAAATTCAAAATTTGACTACTGAGATAACTATTTCCCTTATCTTTAATATTTACTAAACAACCTTAAAATACCGATACACATGATGAATCTCTTGGCCAATCCAGTCTCAAATCTTCCTTTTAAAATACATCATACGATACTTTATCTTTTGCATTGCTATTTTGTTCGAAAAAAAGTTAAACACAATGTAATTATTTAATTCAAAAAAAATAAATATAATGTATAACAGATAAAAACATCAACCAATTGTATTTGCAATTTGATTTTGGTATTTTGGAACATTCATGCTTATTTTGGACATTTGGATTGAATATTTCTTTCCACTATGCCCACTTATGAGGTTGCTACAAAAGCTAGAATGCCATAAGCAAATATTATCTGTCCAAAGTCTCTTGGCGAAATTTTCGAAAAACTGAAAAACCTAACATAAAATCTTTATGACACCTTGAAAATTGTAGCCAATTTATTTCTTACGTAGTAAAGGACTTTGTAATTATTTTTAAGATAAGTTAAAACGGCTCATTACTGTAATGGGATGGTTTCATTGAGTCTAATTGAAATTATTGTGTTTATGTATAAAGACAAATACTGTTGATGGGTACATGACGTGATTTCATAGGAAGAATTCTTGTTGTCCACCTCCTTCGACATGAAAATTTGATGACATCAATTATTAAAATTTGTATTCATCAAATATTATGTCACGTGGATTGCTGTACCAGTGCTTTAAAATGGGTTGAATATGAGAGGGAAAGAAACACCATGCTCCTGTTTATTTTATTTGGACTATATTATACAGCCCTCCCTATATCCTAAAATATATCCACACTAATATTTTAGGGTGAATTATTATATTTTAGAATGAAGGAATTACTTTTACTCAAAAAAAGTTGAGTGATTTTCTCTTAAAAAGGACTTCTAATAGTAGATAGTATTTCTTTCGGATGAGTGAATATTATTCTGCAGCGCGTAACGTTTCTCTCGAAAGAACCCGTCAGATCTCACACGGTCACGCACACGACTCGCACCCGTTCGCTTCTCTTCTCCCCGCTCCGCTAGTCATCAACCACCGGGGTCCGACGAAACAAAACACCACGCCATCTTCACGATCTCCGTCTCCCATCCCCGCCTCGCCGCGCCGCGCCCTCCTCCTCCTCCTCCTCCCACCCCGCCGAGCACTCACCCGCCGCCTCGGTTTCGTGCGCCTCTGCAGCGGCAGGCCGGGGGCGCGGGGCAGCGGTTGGCGTCGGCCGCGGCCGTGCTGTCATGGAGGATCTGGGCATCGAGGCGAAGGAGGCGGCCGTGCGCGAGGTGGCGAAGCTGCTCCCGCTCCCGGAGCTCCTCTCCTCCATTGCCTCCATCAAATCCGACTACCTCGCGCGGCAGCAGGTGATGTGATCCCTCCCTCGAAACCCGATTCGCGCCAAACGTAGCGGAATTTCTGAAGTGTTTGGTTGATAGATTCGGCGAACTCTGATAGTCATCTCCATTCTCCTTCTGAGTGACCTGTCGCATTGAACTGATTTGTTTTTCGCTCTGAGCTCTGATGCGTCGCTTGTGATGTGGCTGCAATTTAGTGGTGTGGGTCGCGGCAGGATCCTATCTCTCAGCTTCTAGCACTTAGATTAACCAGCATCAGGTAGTTATTTGTTTGTTACGGTGAAATGCTTGAAAATTAGGCTGGTTCAAATTCGTTGCTGATCAGTGCAATCACAAATTGTAGTACTGTGCCTGTGAAGTGGTGAGGTGTGCGGAAATCCTGATCCGGTACCCGTGATATAGTTGTCCCTGAGACTTCCGTCGAATTCTAATAAAATTTTCCATGGTTTCTGAAAATACTTTGCTACCCTCAGAATTTTGTGGTGGCTAAGTTGCAGATGCAAAGTGCTAAAAAATTGTGTTGCTCGGTGAACCCTGATGGATTATATGCAGCATCTATGCAGATTAGCTATTCCTGGTCTAATGTTCATATCAGCAGTTACTGTGCAAGCAAATTCGTTACTATTCATATGGTTTGAAAATTAAACTTTAGTATACAGATAAGGATAGTAGAGAGAAGAACCAGGGAAAAAAAAACAAGGAGATGGCATGGTTTAGACCTTTTCTATTATTTCCTTTTACTTACGTTTTTCAGTGGGCCCACTTGCTACTTTTATCCTAAGGCATACCTATAATTGTGGTGCCATATTTTTCATCAAAAAACAGTCAAATTGTTTTTACAGTCACATACAACAAAAAAATACAAATGTAAGTAGGAATTAATTATAGTGTAACTAAGATGTAATTGATATGTAAGTAGTATGTAATTACGGTGTAATAGATATAGTGGCTACTGGTGATCCTCTTCGTTTCTCATCATGATAATGATGAATAATGAATACTGATCAATCGGTCATATCAACATGCATGTTTGGTAGACTGGCAGAAATGTTAGAAGGCTCAGGAGGCACGAGCAAGTTTCGAGAAAGGAAGCCAAGAAAAGAAGTAAAACGCATGCGTGAATGCTCAGCAAACACAAATCTCTATACCATCCTAAAGCTGAAAATTCAACTGTGTTTTGTGAAAAAATTTGTCACCATAATTATAGCAAATCAGAATGAATATTCAAGGGAAGAGATTTCAATCCTTGCGTTTACAATAAAATTGATTGCTGGACTTCTTCCAAAGCTAAATGACATTTGACCATCTAATGCGTGCATCTATCCTCAAACATCCTGCTGATCACAACAAGGCTTAGTTTCTCCTTATTGATTACTCCACACTTGCGTGTAGCTTTGTACAGTGTACTCCAGGATTTGTTTTTAGCCTTTTTGGTCCTATGTCGACGGTTTATCTCAATGCTATTGTTCCTCACATTCTTGATGGTTGTTATCTCTTACCAAAGGGTTTCAAAACATACTAATTAAGCAAAGGTTTGTGTTAGACTTGATTGGGCATTTCTTAAAAAGGTTTGGGCAGAGTTGTCTCAGTTCTCAGATATGGCTGGGATGTTCGGCAAGCTTAAATGTAGACATGCAAGTAAATTATAAAACATGGCTAAGTGTATGTGCGTATGTGCTCACACCCATTTTGTAATGCATATATTGGCATATGCATATTATCTTCAGTGAGATATTATGAGCATGTTTACCATTTTGTAAAGCATATATTGGCATATGCATATTATATACCTCTGGATTTCTAACTGTCTTCTATAAATTCTCAGAC